GTTCTGTGGGAGTTCTGTAAACTACACGAGAGCTAAAGTTCTGATGGAGTGCTGTTGGAGTTCCTGACATGACAACGAAGCTCTTCCGAGTTTCATGGGATTATAACATTTCCACTGAGGTGAGCTGTGGCGGACAGAATCTCGCCGCTACTCCGGACGAGTAACAGCATCCTACGGAGACGCTGAAAGGGTGCGTTAAACGGAATCTCGCCTGAGACATCTCCAGGTAAAAGAGTCGTTTTCACCACCTAAGTGTACTGTGAGGAAAAGCTGAAGAAAGCCCGGAGAGTGCCGTTCTGTTCAACACTCTACCTCAAACACCATCTTTCTCCCCTTTAAACTTCATCTTTCATCTTAAACTTTTCTATCAAGTAGAAATTCTTCCAGATATTTAGAAATGTCTGTGTAAAATGCTCACCCACATTCATGTGGGCAAAAGATCATAGTTGTACAGTTTTATACATGTCTGTGGTGCAGCAACGGAAAAATCATGGCCGTATGATTTTTCCTGATTGATTGCTTTGTTGTTATTTTCATAATTTGCCAAATTAATGTAAATGTTTGATGTTAAATTTGATTCTGTAAATAAATGACCGCATTCATTTTGATGTGTCAAATTTAAATGACGTCTCACGTTTGCATTTCCTTAAATTCAATGCACGTTTTATTCAGTCCAGAAAAATGAGGAACTCGCGTTAAATGATGAATATATCCCAGTATCTGTTCATCTACAAAACTATATGTCAAACCATTTCCATGTTCTCATGATTAATAATTTCTCTTTTTACTTTCTTCTTGTGTCCATCTTTCTCAGCAGCAGCTCGTCTAACCAGCATGGCACATCATCAAGACGTTATTGCAGTGTGCCATGTTGTTCCAATAATAAACAAAAAACACCGTATTTGAGTTTCCACAATTTTCCCGTGGACAAAGAAATACGTTCCCGTTGGGTGAGAGCGATCAGGAGAGATGAAGGGCCAACTTTTAAAATCCTTCGTGGGAGCACCCATGCAGTCTGCACTTTGCCCCAGAAGATCTAAATTCATCGTTCACACATTCACGTTCCCACATTGTTCAAGCCAAGAGTCATTATCAGCACTGGGTGCTAAAAGTTTCTTTTTCAGATTTTAGAATTGCTTATAACTTATAATTGCATGAGTTTAATAATAATAGGTTGTGATCTAAAAGCGGGCCAGTCTGAGGCTGAAACTCCAGGGCTGAAAATGAGTCCCACTCCAGCCCTGGAGTAGCCCCAGAAACATGCTGTTTAAAATGAAACGCCTCTGTGAGTGACTCTGATGCTACATTGCAGGACGCATCAGTATGAATGTTAAAATCTCCCAAGAATTAAAACTTTCTCAAGCTTAATAACGGAAAATAAAATTTCAGAAAAATCTTCTAAAAATGCACGAGCAGGACCAGGAGGTCGCTAAATTAAAACACAATAAAATGAGTCAGTGTTCCCAAGCTGTGTGGAGCAGGGAGCTGCTATCTAGGGTGCCTGGGGGAGCAGATGGTGCGGGCCATGCTCAGGTGCCCAGGGTGGGGCAAATGAGTGTGGAGGCAGGTATGGGTGTTTCACCTATCCCACCCACATTTTGACGTTGTTGGTACTGGGAGTTAAACAATCTTCTGATCACAGGCCCACCTTCTCTAACCTCTGTGCCACCACTCCCCTGACATCAAAATGTGGACTATATATCACCTTTCTATCTTATCAAGATACTCAAAGCTCTTTACAACAATCTGCGTCTCATTTACCCGTTCATACAGCACTCTACTGGATCTATACAAAGATAATTGAACAAATCATTCTAATGAGACTAATCAGAGCTTTATCACATTCATACACTGATGGGACACACATCAGAGGCAGTGAGGGGTTCAGTGTCTTGCCCAGGGACACTTCAGCATGTGACTGCTGGTGGATTCAAACCCCCAACTCTTGCACTGGAGGACGACTGCTCTACCCACTCAGCCACAGCCGCCCCGATGTGCATTTACTGCAGAAAAATAAATGTTTCTAGATTAAACAGAAAGGACTTTGACCAATTTGTTCACAGTTGTCATGAAGTGTTGCACAGGTGACAGAGTGGTTAACAGATTCTGGAAAACAATTAAATCTCTCTCAGGCACCCCCCAATCATCTGACCTCCCATCACAACTTCTCGTTAACTCTGTTCCTGTGTCAAATAAGCACGAGATCCTGAACTGTTTCAACAAACATTTTGTTGCTTCTGGTTCTTTATTTGACACAGTTACTAACAAAAAATCAGCCACTTCACTTAATAACCAAACTTCTACAAATCAAATCCCTCCTACAAGTCAATCCTCAGTTAATCACACCTTCTCTTTTTCTCCATTCTCAGTCAGTGAGGTCAATAAACTGTTAAAAGATCTTGACGCTAAAAAATCTGCAGGTCCAGATGAACTTCCACCTTATTTCTTAAGGCTGGCTGCTCATATCATCACAGTCCCTGTGACCCACATCTTTAATCTCTCCATAAGACAAAACTCCATCCCAGACACTTGGAAAACAGCCTTTGTTCTTCCTTTGCTGAAGGGAGGTGACCCCACCTCACTGAACAACTATCAACCAATCTCTAAACTCTGCATTTTAGCCAAGGTTCTAGAAAAACTGATAAACTCTCAAATCAAAAATTACCTGGACTCATTTAACATCTTACCTCCACATCAATCTGGTTTCAGGAAACAACACAGCACAACCACTGCTTCACTGAAGGTTCTTAACGACGTTGTTGAAGCACTGGATGCTAAAGATTATTGTGCTGCACTTTTCTTAGACCTGTCTAAAGCTTTTGACACTGTGGATCATAACATCTTGTGTCATAAACTCTCAGAAATTGGTTTCTCAGATCACACCATTGGTTGGTTCTCTAACTATCTTTCAGACCGGAGGCAATGTGTTCAACATAATGGTACATCCTCCAGTTATTTAACATTCAACAATGGTGTACCACAAGGCTCAGACTTAGGACCCACCCTCTTTACAATCTACATACATAATGTAGGCAAAAACATCCCTAATGCATCCATACATTTCTATGCTGACGACACAGTTGTTTATTGTCGAGCTAAAACTGTTGTTAAGGCTTTCCAGCTTTTGAAATCTGCATTTAACAACATCCAGACTGATTTGTTCCACCTCAAACTTGTCCTAAATGCCGAAAAAACCAAAGGGATGTTTTTTTCAAATAGGAAGTTGGTCCCAGCAGTTCTTCCTCCGATTTTATCCTCAAATGGTGTCCCCATTGAGTTTGTTGATTCCTATAAATATTTGGGTATCTTGGTCGACTCACATCTTTCTTTTAAGCTCCATGTGGAAAACTTGGTAAAGAAACTGAAAGTTAAACTGGGTTTCTTTTTCAGAAACAGATCCTGTCTAACCCTGAATGCTAGAAAACGCCTTGTATCTGTGACTTTCCTTCCCTCAATTGATTATGGTGACATTATTTACATGAACGCTCCTACAAGAACCCTGCAGATGTTGGATGCTGTCTATCATGGTGCACTAAGATTCATAACTGGCTGTGATTATCGTACCCACCACTGCACCCTGTATTCACTGGTTAACTGGACATCATTAACTTCACGCAGACTCTCTCACTGGTACATTTTCATCTTTAAATCACTTCTTGGTCTGTTGCCTTCATACATCTCCTC